CCTGTTGGTGGTTCATTTGTTACAACAACCCTAGGAAATTGGTAGCATACCTGTCTCAAGGAAGTCATCATGTATTTGGGAGAAGGGCAGGTAAACACTTCCATCAGAGTAGAATTGAGGAGGAGTAGGAGAGTCCTGGGAAGTGGAGATGGAGGCTCTGAACATACCCTGGAGGGAAGGTGGAGCATCAGTAAGGTTTACTCAAGGAGGCAAAAAGGAAGATGGGCCACAAACATTTGGGCATTGCATTGCAGGAACTAGGAGCTAGGCCAGTATTTAGGATAGGCTAAGCAATGGGGCATAGAGCATTTGCATTGAGCAATGGGGCATAGAGCAGTAGAAGATCCCACCACTCCAAAGGATTCCTTATCCTGGCCCAGCATTGGTGGAGTCATCCCATCTGCTTCTATGGAGGCAAGCAAGCCCACCAGGTAGGCATCAATTATAGAACTGTGTGAAACCGAGACACATGCAATATATATGAGCATGCATGTATATATAACTCTCTCAAGATCCATCTAGTGCAACCTGCATATATATCAGCATAACATCCCACATCTATTAACTTAGGGACACACTGTGGAATTCAAACAGCTGAAGCTTGAAGTAGATCATCTCCTTTCTTTCCATTCTGTGTTGTATTATACATTACGATGAATGGAAGCAATTATAGGCGGATTCAATGACAGTGCCATCATTTATTGGAGTATAATTCCTCAAGCCAATCAGTGCTCTAAGTAACAATAAATTATATTAGACTTCCAGTATTGCTTGAGCATGTAGAGGGCTATGGATCAATGAGTAGCTGATACTTGAAAAGCTTCAGCATTCAGCTCTTGTTGAATCTGTAATTAACAAATGAAACTAAACTAATCATCGTAAATTGTTCATTTGACTACATTCTTGTTGTGGAGCACACTGTGTGCTGAGGAATAAGAGTGTAAAGAGCTATAGAGTACGGGCTTGTGCTCTCCTGTGTTGAGGTGCCCATAAGCAAATGAATGCATCTATCAGAGCCTTCGAATGGTGTTACTGTGATAAAATGCTTCATCCTTGCAGGCTGCTGACTCATCTGGCTTTAACATTATGTGTTAATCAATGATTGTTTTATATTAAAAAGCACAGTTTAATTTTGCTACAGATTGGTTGACAACATTCCAAGAAAATAGCTGTAAATGGAGGAGTTTTAAAAATAATGTGTGAAATGTATGTAAAACAGGTAGACGGAAACAAATACTGCCGGTGGTGGTGGCTTATGCCAATCAAGATTCTTCCCAGCTATTACAGGTGCCCTGGGAAAGCAAACAGGCACATAAGGCTTCAAAGCTGATTATAATGTAGATTTAGACAGTTACTGTCCCACTCAATTATTTATTCTCTGTATTTATTGTGCCTGAAAAAAATGCCTTTATCTTGTAAAAGGAAATTTACATTAGGCGCTAACTAGTGCTTAGTTAGGATCTTTGGGTATTTTAGAGAAGGGCGTGCATTGGCTTCCACATACTAGCACAGTGTTTGTGATGCTCATTAAAAATATTAGGGACCACGATGTTCAGCAGCTACTTAGCATAATTTTGTTTTACTAGTTTACTATGCACCAGTGATGCTTGATTGGCTTCTTGCATTACTATGCTCGTAGTATACAGTGCAGTGCCTCCATATGGTGCATCGGGTAAAAGCATATTAAACACATTACGAACTGAGCTCAACACCTCACACATTATTGATCAACAATGCGCCAATTAGACAATACAGCAGTCATGGAAATAAACACTGGCAGATGTGCCCAAGGTCTACATGAGGATGCAATTGAGGGGACAAATGAGGATAGAAAAAGGGAGATAATAAAGTAGGACCACATAAAGCCTGTTACAGTGATTCCAAAGGCACAAAGTCTTTTATTGTCCTCAGGCAGAACATTGAAACCAATATTGTTTAAGCTCTAAGTGGCTTATTAAGTAGACCTAGAAAATCTCTCTTTTTAGGATAGCACTGTTCCATACAAATAGAACGTGAGCCATAAAGATGAGCCACTTATGTAAGTTCAAATTTTCTAGTGCCATGTTAAAAAAGAGTACAGAGAGACAGGTGAAATTAATATTTTAAAATTTAACCTGATGTATGCAAAATATTTCAACATGCAATCTATGTAAAATAATATTTCATATTTTTCATACTAAGTCTTTGGAGTCCAATGTGTGTTTTGCACTTATAGTGCATCTGAAGCTAAACTAGCCATTTTTCAGGTGTTCAGGTGGCCTAGTGGCTACCATGTTAGACAGTGCAGTTTTAGGTGATTTCACTAGTTTTATATTATTCTCCTTTATTTTGTGATCTGTTGGATAAGTGTTTCTTTAGAAGGCTCTGAGGGTGGGAGCGAATGTGGTAACTGTGGAGACTGATCCCAAGGTCACACAATCTGTAAGTGGAGTCCACCACTTCCAAAAATCCATCTTGTATGTGTCTGCCCTCCCCTCCCCTTTTTTTCCCAGAGAGTGAGCACACTCACCAGAGAAAGACAGAGAGACAGAGAGAGAGAGGGTGAGGGGGAAAAACTCCTTCTTGGAGTGTGATCATCCCACAATCCTTTCTCCTCCATTTCTCCATCCTGTCAGGATTTGGTGAATGCACATAGGCCCAGCATATTTTACAAGCCTCCAGGCCGGGATTCAAACTGCAGTCAGCAATGTGGGATCTGGCTCCTTTGAACAGCAGGCCACAGGGCTGGCCCCATTCCATTGTTTGCCACAAAGGGATAACTATAAACTCTAAGCTCGTAGTCAGTTCAGCATGATGACCCATAGAATGCTATTTCCCCAAAACCTTAGGATAATGCCTCCTTGCTGTAATACTTAGGGAGCCGCCACATGTTGTGGACGAGCAGTAGAAAGCATTTTGCAATTAGAGCCCAGGGTGGTGTAATAGGAAAGAACTGCACCTGGACTCAACTTGAATTCATGTCTGGCTTTGCTCCTCAATAGCAGAGTGATGTGAATGTGTTCCAATTCTGGGCCTCAGCGTCTTCGTCTTTGGAATGCCTGCCTGTTTCTCAGGATTATTGTAAGTCTTATGTATTATTGTATTTCTGCAAGTATGTGCTTTGCGAAGTGAAAAGGGATGTGCAAATGGAAGAGTCTGTTGATTTTCAAAGGAGAAGCAAAATTTGAAAACCCTGATATGTTCCAGATCCATTCGTCTATTGATTTTGTAATGACATGGGTAATAAGCAAATGCACTCACCTTAAAAAAAAATTAAACCATTACAGATAAAGCTAAGACCTCGTCAGTTAAACCCCAGTGTCTGGTCTCTCCACTCCCCTCCCCACCGCTGCTTAACTACCCAACACTAGCCTGCTTGATACAGGTAGGAACATGTAGAAGAGGGCTCAGCACTAGATAAGAGACAATCAGCACACACTTTTTAATGAAAGGCTGGGTGCCTGACCTCAGGTCAGCAGAGGTCTCTCACCTCCACAACAAAGCACATGTTTTTCCAGTGTCACTTCTCCTGTGTGGCCACATATAATGTGCTTATCATGTGGGTCAAGGTGTGTGTAAGTGTGATTAAAAGACTTGAGGAGAGATTATTCACTGGTGGATAACTCCATTGGATCCATACTTAGATGCACAGGATACATCTGACTCTCACATTGAGTCAGAAGAGAAGAAAGAAAGAAAGAATGAGCTAGTGCTTTCTCATATTAATTGGCAGGAATGTTGGCAGTTAAACCCAATGGAGCAGCATTTGGCATAAGGAATTTTCTTTCTATTCAATGAGGACAGTAGAGGGGAAGAAAAATCTGCCACCAAACACTATTATGGCACCTTAATGATAATGATTATAATGATGATCGAAAACGAAGCAGCTATTAAATCAATAAGTTATTTTTATTTGAAATATGAAATATAAACATATTAAATTTTCAGGTTTTGTCCATTTTTATTCACTAATCTTCAGAGAGCAAATGCAAACAGGAGACTTTTAATAAAAATAGTAAGCACCCCGAGAATAAGCATTGTTAACCAAATTACTATCACTGATATCATTTACATTTGTCATGTTTCAAAAGAAAACGTGTTGTTTTAATTTGCTTTTAAACACCACAACAGGGTCTCCAAGCATTTAAATAAAACAGAAACAGTTCATTAGAACAGAAGGAAACTATCTGAATATATTGGTCACAACTTGCTTGCAAGCATTTCTGACAGCAGCCCTCTGTCGAAGAGAAAATTGCACAAATTGCCAGTTATTATCATTTTTAATAAATAAACCTTCTATCTTCTCCCTCCCTCCCTCCCTCTGGCTTCTATGCGATTGTGTTCAACAAGCATATTTTCAGTGGGACCATTTCTATTACAGAGTGATTGAGCTCTGATTTACACACCAATTACCCACCTTCATGGAGATTTTCATGCCCCCCTAGCTGACATCAATGAAGCATAACTGCACAAACGCTTTATTTCATACCAGTTGTGGATAACTGAGGCTGATAACTAATCATATCGAGACAATGTGCTATGATACAGGAAACAATAAATGCTTCCCTTTGAAAATCTCATCTATTCTTTATGAGCTCACCATTCACATGCTTATCTCAGCCATCCATTTCTTTCTGCAAGAATCTTCCTCTCATTTGGTATCTCAAGTGAAATTAGGGCTTTACCATTGCATACCAGCATTTGCAAAGACCAAGTCTCATTTTCATGCTTCCCCAAAGAGCAGAAAAGCTTACTGCTTTCCTGTCAATGTTATGGACCAATTTTGCCAAACAGCCATGGACAGTCTGGGACTGAACTAGGCTGCATCTTTAATCTCTTGTTCAGTCTTCCATGTTTGTCCCATGGGACCATCGTCTGTGCCCCTTGGTCCATATGTACTTGAACTAGCTGTCATGCTGATTGTGAACTCTTTCACTGCTCAAGGTCCTGCTAGAGCCCTGCTGCCTGATTTGGCTTCCCACCCCAGGCCAACCTGAGAGCTCTCCCGTGGCACTCGGTACATGTATTCTAGCCGTGTTACCCTACGCTGTAATTATTTTGCAGTGGATTTGCCTCCTGTTCCAGACTATGAATTTCTCGAAAGCTCGTAATATGTCTTACTTTTTATGAGCACCAAACATGGTGCCTGGTGTGATGTAGGCATGCAGCATTTGTTGATTAAATAGACAAATTAATTAATATATTAATTAATATCTTTGTCAACATTTGTCACTGAACTTGGGCAGAAAAAATATGTTTGCCTGTCGTTTGTTCATTCGTTCAGTCAAAAAACATTTATTGAGAGCTGAACACTGAGCTTGGCCCGTTTCCAGATAAATGGGAAACAGAAATGCGTTATTCCTCTCTGGTGACAGTTTCATTTAACACCCACGCATTCTCTCAGACAGAGTAGGAAAAAAGGAAAGAAGAATGAGCTGGAAAGCCAAAGGAGAGGTGTGCTGGAGTAGAAAGCAGAGTAATGGTGAGCAAGTGACATGGAGTGAAAAGATGCATGCCAAGGTCTAGATCACCCACACTTACTGGGAGGAGACTGGCATTTTCATTATGAACTGGCTCAGCGCTGTAGTCAGAGGGTGTATTCATTTGCTAGGGCTGCCGTAACGAAGTATGACGAAGTGATGGATTTCTAATGGCACACATGTATGTCTCCCAGTCCTGGAGACAAGAGGTCTGAGATCAAGGTGTTTTCAGGATTGGTTCCTTCTGATGCTGTGTGGAGGAATCTGTTTGACTCCAATTTCTAGCAGTCCATTGGCAATCCTCG